TTAGGTTTCTAATCATGTTCATTCTTATCAATATCTTTGGGTTAATACTGTTAGATATGAATAGGTGAAAAAGGCATAATGTTCCGGTCAGTCCATAAGTTCGTGCGCATTAAGAGAATGCGTGGAGTTCACTATGACGCATTTACTAAAGCAATACAATTTTGAACCTGTTGAAACTTGTCATCGTTTTGACTAACATATTATTCAGTTCATCACCAACTTTCGTAAATATAGCACTCATTTTAGTACCCATAGAAGATGAATATAGATAATCAGTACAAACATGCTGTGCTACATTTTTTTTATTTTCGTGTGGTGAATTTTCCAGGTTTGCAGTGATAAAAATTAATAGTGTATATGGTAAACACACTTATTAATGTAAGGACTGCCCAGAAATGGTTTAAAAATTTTTAAGTTGGAAAAAGCAGCATTGATGATAAACCCCGTTTCAGGACGTTTTGAACTGTTAGAAACAATCAACGATTAATTCAGAAGTTTATAGTGAACAACTTTGCCGTCTAAACTCAGAATTGATCAAAACACTCCCACAATTGGTGAATATTAAGAAAGTGTTGTTCATCACGATAACGCTAGAGCGCACACGGCTCGAACAACGCTTCAAAAATTAATAAGAGGATACAAGGAGACAGGAGATCACTGGACAAAACGAAAGTTTGAAATAAATGAAATTGCAGTAGAATGATACCGACTTTGTTTGCCAAACCCGGTATTTTACAATGCACTTTATTAATTAATCTTATATACTTAATATCATATGTCTTATAACTTACTACATTAGACAAAAAAAATATTTAAGCAGAGGAAAAAAGAGAGAGGGGGAGGGAGAGATAACTCAATTAAAGAAATCATGTAAACACTGGTTTTTGCAGTCGCCCAGATGGTAAAGTAGTTAGTGATTGTGGCTGCATTATCTAAGAGCCCAAGCTCGAATCCCATAGAATGCATGGATGTAAATGGTCATTATCCAGCGCCTATAATGGCTAGTGGCTACAGTTGGGAATAAAAATGATTTACGAATTTAAATTTCTCTGCATCAAAAAACTATCTTAAGCCTTTTCCTCAAAATTCAATAACTTTAAAATTTACACAGAAGTCATAATTACTTTAACATTTTATTTATGCTTATTGCACTGTTAAATACGATTATGTGAGAAAATATTTTCAAAAGTGCTAAACTGTGTCTCAGATTAAAAATATTATGTGCAATAATTATATTTGCTTCAGCAAACAAGAATGTCTCATCCACCATGTCTTTAAAAAGCATTAAGAGAAATAATGTTCCTGTGAGTAACAAGGGAACAAGTCAAAATTTTCAGAATAAAAGTTATGAAGGCTCAAAACGAAGCATTTCAAAACAGCGCATTCCAGCAGAGGTTGCTTTTACAGCCTCTTTTACAGCCTTAGCGAAAGAAATCTTTACTTGTTCGGATAAATCTCATGTAATTAAGAAATGTTTTTTTCATTAACCTAATAAGGAAATCCGTTAAATGCACATGAATGATGTTACATTTGCCTAAAACAAGGACGTACCTCAAAAGTTTGCTAGAAAAAACACCAGCTGTGCAAAATGAAAACTACTATTATTTATTATACGATAAGGCTGAACCGACAACAAATTCAGTCCAATCAAATAATAAAACGGAATGTTCATTTTCCTACGGTACAGTTATTGGGTTGCTTAAGGAAATACAAATGAATGTGTAAACCAAAACAAGAAAGCAAGAATATCGTTGCCAGTTTTATTACAAGCATTCAACTCTATTATAAAAGTAAATAAAAAAGTGGGGTGGTAAGTGTCTTAATAGACATCGGGAGTAATAGAACCGTTATAAGAAAAAGAAATTTGCTGATTCATTGGGATTTAAGGATATGTCGATGATTTATATTATGTAGCAAATACAGTCGAAAAGGCATACCAATTGTCATCTGAATGCAGTTGCCATTTTAAAGCACGCGAGTATGAATCTACGTAAATTTAATTCAAATTCTAAGGAGGTAAAATACATATGGTTAAAAAACGGTTTATGAATGAATGGATGACATTGCACAAGTTAAAATTTTAGGTCTTGACTGGGATACTTTAAGAGACCTGTGAAATTAGTATAGTCCCTTGAACTATCAGATTGAAAATGAACTTATTTCGTAACTTTTATTTTGTATTCTTATATTTCATGTTTATTTGCATTACTTTTAGTTAATTAGTTGAGTTATTACTAATAATTTACTGTTTGTAATTTGTTTTGAATTGTTATGCTGGACACTATGTTTGTTAATTTTATAGTTTCCCTTTTCCTGTTTATATTTACATCACGTAAATGTACTTGATATTGATATGTAAGTTACTTACTTACATTTGAATTTTTTGTATGCTGAAATAGTGATAATTTTTGTAAAATTATCAAGTGGGAAGCTTTGAAAAAACCCGCAACCGACTGATTTGTATCACCGCTAGAGGGCGCTTCTCTTCCAAAGAAAAAGAATGTTAATTTTATTTACGATGTTTAAGTGAAAAGAACCACCGTTGGCTTCCGAGCCTGCTTTGAAATAAATTATTATTTTGCAAAGTTCAAGTATTGTCTTCTATTTTATTATATGTATGATCAGCTCCCTCTTTCTTTCTTGTGTGTGTCTATGTATTTAATTATGGCAAAGCGCACTAGGGCTATCTGACTAAGGGGAGGGATGCCTTCGTGGAGGGCTTTCTAAAGGAAACTGGCTCGTATACACTTTACACATGGGGAAAACCACGAAAACACCCATGCAGCCAGCCTGTTCGCGGGATTTGAACCTCGGACCGAACTACCAGTGTTCAGCGACTTTTACCGCTCGGCCGCTGGTGGGCCTCTTTCTTTCTTGTACGAAGATACAAAATAATATTTTTTATGGGGATTAGGGGACCTAATCGCCAAATTCTGTTTGTGACGCATTATCGTTTACTATCTTTTAGTTCGAACGTCACTGTAGAGTCTTTAGGTTTATTGATGTTGGAAAAGTGAAAAATGAGCAATGCCCGGGCCGGTACTCGAACCCTAGACCTCTTGAATATGAGTCGAGTATGCTTCATATTACACCACGAAGGCATGCGGAAAGAAGGGAGAAAGTGCCTTATAAAATAAAGCGTGTAATAAATTTTAACTTGGAGGTATGTGTTAATTTTCTGTTAATAGTCTCGGTAAGCCTATGGTAAATAGCCTGTTGCTAGTCTTTAAGGTTCTGAGATACATAATTCATAAATTCATAAATGGATTTGCACATGCCCTGATACTGGTACTTTTAACATTTGTATAATTTAATGGTTATACGAATGTTAAACGTACCAATACCAGAGCATTTGTACCTAATATTGGTACTTTCAACGCTTTTGTAATCTATATCCTTGCAACTTGCTTGTGCAAGGGTATTGATTACAAATACCCTCGCACAAGCATGAGATATTATATTCACTGTAGTGTTTAATTTACATACTCAGTGCATAAATCAGGCATCTTGAATAAGCAAACTCCTTTATATATATAAATTATTTCTATGCAGGCTCTGACAAGATCTGTAGCATAAAGAAATATTATAAGCTCTTAGAGTTAACATATTTCACTGAAATATTATATTCGCACTTAATAATATTCAGTATCATGTATACACTGAATATAATACTGAAGTACACTAAATAATATTCAGTATCATCGTTCAGTATAAAAATATACCTGCATTGTAAACTGAGCAGTCACGAAGAAACCTTGAAGACAAGGAAGTGTTACTTAGCTGGAATTTTTAGATTTATTCTGAGTTTGAATATTAAACCTCCCATCTATTAAAGGACTAAGTTGTTCATATTTTTTTGCTTTTAATGAGTTTTTTTAAAACGCCAGATCTTCAAAATGCTGTGCAAACGTGATAAAAAAGTACGTTAATAAAAATTTCCGAAACATTCTTCAGAGATATGTTTTTAGAACTTAAATGTTCTAACCCAGCAATCAACTTATTCTCTATTCCGTTCTATCTTAAAATCCGAAAATTAAACTCAAAAGTAAAAGCAGAAGGAACACTTCTTCGAGAAGGCTCAGAAGTTGTGTTGAAAATTATTATTATACGTAGACTATACTAGAAAATATTTAAAATGAACACTTTTGATTAACCTGAAAATATTTATAAATAGCTGTCGTATATATTATAATAAGTATCTCACTCTGCATTATAGCCAGGGGCGAGCCGCTCATTATTAAACAAAGTATCACTTTATTTAGATATGTTAATAATATAGATAATGATTTTGTGAGAACGAAATTTTGCGAAGCTGAATTTAAAATTATCTGGTCTAAGAAAAGAGAGTTTTACCTGTATATCGCTGAATAGTAAGAAAAATCAACAAATAAATTTACAACTAAAAACTAGACTTTCCATATTCAAGGCCTTAATGCTAATTTCAGATGCGACCTTATTACGGAAATATTAAATAAAATATCTTTCATGCAATAAAATGCAATTAGAAAATATTACGTTATTGCTTTGTAATGAAGAAGGTCCAGCCTGTAAGCAACAGGGTATAAATATACAGTCTTACAAAGCTAAGAGAACACACTTAGACATCAATTTATTTAAAAGATTTATTCATTTACTTCTTTAGCTTTGACCTTTCTCTTACGTTTCATACTTTAGATATTTCATACTTTAGATACTTAGATACTTAGATACTCTTACGTTTCATACTTTAGATACTTAGATACTCTTACGTTTCATACTTTCATAGAATTGAGTTCTTAGATTAATTCTACAAATTTATATTGAAAATAAAACATAATAAAGTGAAATGAAATCACGTCTGGATATCATATAATACTACTACTACACATTTTTCAGACGTAAGCGCATTAAACTTGTATAAACACAGTGAAAATGGCTCAATTTCAGATGCAGGCTACTTTAAAGCTCTTTAACTCCCCCTTGGCTATACTTTAGCAAAGATGGAAAAGAATATTTCATACCCAGGAAAAACCTACACATCCAATAGCGTCAGACAGCATGTCGGCTAGAATTGAAGGATATGCATTTCCGGCGGGAAAGTATGCATGGAACCTTGGATGTTGCCAGTGAGTAACCTACAAGTAAAATAAAATGTTTCTGATAAAATAACATTAAAATAAAAAAAAATTAAACTAATGACAAATATATTTCACAAAATTAACAAAACATGGAAACTAAAGCTGAAAAAAAAAACTAGTTTGGTAATCTAGAGCAACCTGCTGTTAAATTAGCAAGTTGTAAAATATTTTGCAATTTTATAATTATAAAAGATAATAAGATAACAGTTAAGTGTCAAGTCATAAACTATTAATTATTGGTGAAATACTTTGTCGTTCTAGAGCAAGAGTTCTTGAGAGGGGGATTTTCCCCCAAAGGGGGGATTACATAATTTCAAGGGGGAGGAATGCGATCAGTCTTTTAAGTACTAAGTATTTAGTTTTAGTTTATGAATGTAAAAAATAACTACTTTTCAGAGTCGTTAAGTTATTTTGAAGCAGGAGATGTGAAAAATGTGTGATGCCCTCCTCGGTACTCGAACCGAGACCTCTCGAATACGCGCCGAGTGTGCTACCGTTACACCCCAAAGGCTTGATGGAATTAGGGAGAAAATACCTTGTATCTATTATTCAGGTTCTGGAATTTATGAACATTTCCTATACTTTTTGTTGCTTAATTTATAAAACACATTAAAAAATAATCCTTAAGTAAATAAATGTATATATCAGGAGTGGCCAAAGTGCGGCACGCGAGCCTAATACGGCTCTCACAGGCAATTTGTGCGGCTCATGCATATAAAATATATGTACGACATATGGTAAACTAAAACTATTCAGTGTTCAAAAGGAAGCAATTAATTAGTTTAGACTCATCTTAGAAAGTTCTCAGGTATTTCTTTCCATTGAAAACCTCCTCCATTACTTCTATAATGATGTAAATATGAACTTGTGGCTTTTAGAAAATCTAGATGCGGCTCTCGAACATTCCTGAATTCAAACGTGCGGCTCTTACTGACATGAAGTTTGGCCAACCCTGGTATATATATTTTTCGATTTTTTTTAAAGGATGGGTAATGAACTTGTAGCAGTGGTGAAAGTTATGCATGAGGCAGAATTGGTTGAGAGCCCCTGTTCTAGAGGTTAACATTGCAATATATTGTTGCGTGCGTACGTTATGAAATGAATGCACAAGTCCGATGAAAAATGAACAAAAATTTATTATTATCCCAACAAAAATGCTTAAATTTTCTCAAATTATCATGCAGTATTACAATATCTCACAGTAGTTATCTTTTAACTACTCAAATATCCAATAGAACGTAATTCAAAACAGCTAAAGAACGCTAATCCGCGAATTCGCTACAATCAACAAGAGCAGTTTTCTAAAACAACAACAAACTAAGCAAGCAACTACCACGAACTGAGATGTTTTTCCTCCTTTTATAAGATTTTAAAATCACGCGCTAGAATTTTCCAGTACTTTCTCGAAATCAAAAAGAGATATTTATTTATTTAACGCACGCGCCTTGTATTTTTTAATTTTCCGGCTTAGCTTTCTTTTAATATTCGTCACGCGCTGCACTGCGCGAGAAATAAAAACCATTTAATTTATAATTGAACTAACATTAGCTTTTTAAATAGCAAATTCGTAACACTGCCCCCTTCCCAAGGACTGCACGTCCCGGGCAGTACAATCCCTGGACAGGAAGCTAAACTTACAACTGTGGCATAAATGCATTAATAAGCATTACATTACAATATTAAACAACATGAACAATAAATGCAATAAATAAAACAAATCAAATGCTATCAAATACAAATCAAACACTAAATGCAAATCAAATACTAAATACAAATCAAATCAAATACACATTTAAAAACAAAATGGACCATGGTCTGATACTATTTACAATTATTTACATTACGTACTATGGCCATAGTAATAAGCTAACCTGTCGTAATAGTTCGAAGACTCACGGATCCGAGCCACGACGTCATTCAGCTTTTTAGGACTGTATACGGGCCATCCCAAGGTGACTGTAATTTCGGACAAAGTCCTTTCCGTCGAGTCGGATTCCACAACCACACCTTGTCTCCTTCGTGGAACTGATGTTCAGCAGCTCTCGTGTTGTATCTGGTCTTCACTTTCTCCGTCGCCAAGTTCACTCGCTTTCGTGCGGAACGGTGCATCACTTCAAAACGGGCCTTGACATCTTGGATGTGTTCCTCAGGCGATGAGGCGCATCCGTACGGCGATGAAAACAGGCGGTCACAAGGCAGACGAAGGTCTCGACCGAAGAGCATCTGAGATGGAGAATAGCTGGTAGTCTGGTGTTTCTTTTCGACCCTAGCATGATTTCGGCTGTTTCTCGAGCTGGTTCTTTCGGACAAAAGCGTCGGCATTTCCAGGTGAGGATCCCTTCTTAGGATGGATAGTTATGTCTTTAGATCCTGAAAGCAGTTTGTTGTTTTTTCAAGTCTAAGGAAAAATTGTATTTCCTTAAAAAGTCCATCCGAGTATGCATGGATCTGTAATATCCGCCACATATGCCGTGTGATGGTAGGCGGCACTTCCAAACGTGATGTTTACGTTTAAACTTCCCAGTTATGTCGATCTTGTCACCAGACGCAGTCTGAAGGGTAACACAGGATGGCGTCCAAATAAGTTTATCTTTAAACTGTTCAGCTAAATCTTTCCTAATGATGGTAAATTAGCTCCTGTGTCAATGATCATACTGCAAGGAACTCCATCGATATTCCCATTGATGGACAGTCCGTTATTGTTGCCACTCACTGTATAAATTTTAAGAGCTTTAAAACAAGGTTTTTCACTATCTGGCAACCTCTTCCTCGATATGGTCACTAATTTGTTTACTGCGTTGTTGCTGGGAAATGGTCTTATTTTCCGTACCTCGGGGTGTTCTGCAGTTTTCTTCGTATGTGGCCTTCAACTCCGCAGTTCCAGCACTTTAGAATTAGTTTCTTTTCACTTCTGTTCCGTCTCAAGCCACTGACTTGTCTGGTAAAATCATCTGCTTTATATTCCGTACCCTGGGGTGTTCTGGCAATTCCGTCTTAGGTGACCTTCACTACCACATCCTAACACCTTAGAGCCACTTTCTTCTCGCTCCTACTCCGTATCAAATCTTCGACTTGTCTGGCTAAATCATCTAAACGAGAGCCATCAGTTGATCCACTGGCTCATGCACTCGCACAGCTCTAACTGGGTAGCGATCTCTACTAGTTTGCTTGCTGGGCTGCCTCGAACTTCATGGCGTACAACAGAGCGCTTTTTATGTCCTTTACATCTGCCATTCGAAGAGCTTCTGTATTTCAGTATCTCGGATGGTTGCCGTCGATAAAGTATTGTAAGGACAGGATTTCCCTTGTTTCTGTCGGGCATTCCGAAAAGGCGAGATGGGACAGCCTTTTTTTCAACATCCGCGGCGAGCTCCTGAAGTGTTTCGGTAGGCTTCTGTTGACGAGATTTTAATTGGAGGCCTGCTGTAGTCTTTCAAACACTTTTCTCGCCGAAAGCGCAAGCTCCCAAGCGCCGGATAGAGCTTCGAAAATCTAGCCTTTTGATTTTCAGGGAAGAGTCTGAAGGATATCCGCTGCGTCTGCTCTCAAAGAAAAGCGGCGAGATGACAGGCTCTTAGCTTGAGATTCCCATCCATTCGCATCCGCTACGACAGAAAATTGTGTCTTATACACTTCCAGGAGGTCTTCCCATCATATGTAAATAGTTTCTGCAGAACGGAACGAGCAGGCATCGGTGAAAATTTAAAACCCTCAGAATTGCTTCCTTCTGCCGCTATGCTCTTCTTTAAAGTATCAACTTCTTTGGCGACGGCAGCAGAAACCCTATCATCAATTTGTTGTTCGACGGCAGAAACTCTCTCTTCTATATGTCCAACTTTAGTTTCAACCGCGTCTATTCTGCCTTCCATAGCCTCAAATTTATTTTCTATTACGCAGGTAATTTTCTTTTTCATTTCGTCCCTGACCTGCTTTCATCTCATTTTTAAGAGATTTCATCTCTTCCTTAACGGATTCCTGGCCCATTTCATTTCTCCTTTGAGGGATTCCTGGCCCATTTCATTTCATCTTTAACGGACCTTTGACCAGCATCCATTTTCTCTTTAATTTCTTCTTTAAAAGATGTTGGCCAGCTTCCATCTTTTCTTGGAAAGCAGCAAAGCAGTAGTAATGAGCTGTCTCAATTGTTCTTCCATCCCTCTTGTTATTGGCATTCAAATCCCACTTCTGACACCAAAAATTGTTGCGTGAGTACGGGTTCGTTATGAAATGAATGCACAAGTCCGATGAAAAATGAACAAAAATTTATTATTATCCCAACAAAAATGCCTAAATTTTCTCAAATTATCATGCAGTATTACAATATCTCACAGTAGTTATTTTTTAACTACTCAAATGTCCAATAGAACGTAATTCAAAACAGCTAAAAGAACGCTATCCGCGAATTCGCTACAATCAACAAGAGCAGTTTTCTAAACAACAACAAACTAAGCAAGCAACTACCACGAACTGAGATGTTTTCCTCCTTTTTATAAGATTTTAAAATCACGCGCTAGAATTTTCCAGTACTTTCTCGAAATCAAAAAGAGATATTTATTTATTAACGCACGCGCTCTTGTATTTTTAATTTTTCCGGCTTCTTAGCTTTCTTTTAATATTCGTCACGCGCTGCACTGCGCGAGAAATAAAACCATTTAATTTATAATTGAACTAACATTAGCTTTTTAAATAGCAAATTCGTAACAATATATTAAATCGAGAGTGCAGGTTTAATGTTTTAATCACTTGAATGTTTCTGTTTTAAGTGAAAATATGTATGAAATAAAGTAGATACCACCTTTTCAATTTACATTTGTTCGCATCTTATAGCGAGAGTTTAACATGCTATAATTTATAGAAAGGAATTGTTTTATACCCTCGCAATATAGTAACAATTGCCATACTCTATGAAGGCAAATTTACTGCAGGATATTTTTCTTGAGCAACACTGCGTGATGTAGTAGAACTATAACGCATTTTACGATGCTATTAGACACGAA